CTGTTTAAACATCTGAATGCAATATCAATGCTGTAGATTATATTATTAATGCAATGGTAATGATGATGATTATTAACAATAGCAGCAAAATGATTTCCCTGATCTCCACAACACTGAAGACTTATAAAAGCAAGTCTATTTTGTTGTTTTTAAGAAAGAAGGATGTTCACGTGTGCTCTGTTTTTATATTCTAACAGTTTGCTGAGTGGTGTTTGGACTACGGGACACATGGGTGTCGTATCCCAGACAGACCATACTCCCTTTTTGAAGGTACCTAATTCATATTGATTTAATATTTCACATATCGTCTGTGTCATATTCGTCTGCATCTTCTTCTGTCTGTGTAGCAGCTACTCAGCTGTAATGGGTGAAATTTTCCTTACATTTCCACACATGTGTAATGTTACATCAGGAATGATGGAATATGACTTTATTTCAACCATTCACCCCTGTAGCACAGTGTGGAAGTGGTTAGCACTATGGCCTCATATCAAAAAGGTTCCTGTGTGGAGATGTGGTGCTTCTTCCTGTGCCTGCACAGGTGCTATAGATTCATCCCACAGTCCAAAGACAGTATTTGTGAATCTAAACTGCCCATGGATGAGAGGTAGATGAAGTGCTTAAAGTAGATAAAATAAATATAAAATACATATCAAATAAATAATATAAAGTATATAAAGAAAAATATAAATAAATTCAATATTATGAATTATGCTTAAATGTGACTTGTAATCTGAAGTGCTTTGCATAGTCAGTAAGAATAGAAAAGAATAAATGCAGTATATGAATAAAAGTTCCTCAGTAGATAAGCCTTTGTGTTCATCTAATAAGCATTTTGTGTTGCTTGGAGGTCTGTAATTTAGCAGATGTCTGACACGTAGCCACATGCAGTTGGTTGGTTATTTGGTTGTGAGACGGTTATGATCAGATCACAACATCCACTCTAGGTACCAGATGATGACAGTATATGATGCTTCTCATTAAACTGTCTCATCGTGTGTTGCATGTTAAGCTTATTTCTACGAGCCTCTGGTCGATCAGAAGTTACTGTGATCTATTGCAGCGTGTTAGCACAGCTGCATTATAACAAAAGGTTTTAATCTGTTGGCTGTCTGTGGAGCTTTCAGAGGTCTGAAGGCAGAAGAGCGCTCTTTTGCCTTACAACCAAAAATAGGTGTAGAGGACACGGCTTTTTCAGTAACTTCAGCAGATTGCTTTTCACCTTTCACTTAAACAGCAAATACGGTGAAATGTGTATCCAGCAGTAATGACTGTTTCTCCACTTAGGTATGGCAGGAGCCCTCCACTACATATCAGAGATGGAAAACCCCGAAGCTTCGTGTTTCCCTGCCTTTGAACTTTGACCTGACAGTCCCTGACTTTGGATTACGAAGGGGAGGAAAGTTAACTTTCCTTGAAAAGTATGCTGCTCAAAAAAAAATGAGGGGAACGTTTAAATCACACATTGGATCTTGATAAATGAAATACTCACTCTGAAAATCTTTAGTGTCATAAATGTTGTAATTATCTTGAGAACAAAATGATCTACTAACAGTGAGAACCAATATCATCCACCCTTTAAGGGTTTGAATTTAGAAACCACACCAAAAATCCAAGTTAAAAATAGGCTCGTCTGACCTGCATCATAGTGTGGCTCAGCAGTATGTGTGGTCCCCATGAGCCTACATGCGCTCTTAGCTGATGTCTTTAAATCTTGTTCTGGACTTGGATCAAGGCACCAGTAAACTTCTGGACAGTGTGTGGCACTGTTTGGTGGGTTTCGATGGACCAGTGCATAATTTTCCTGAGAATCTTCATATCTTCATAACTGGCGTCAGTGCCTTCATCATCCAGGAACTGCCTTCATTCTCGCCAGCGGAGGACAGACATTGTTGTGCACCAAGAGGATCCCAGGGCTTGCTCCAGCATGAAGTCTGACATTAGATATGTGGATTTCATCCTGATACCAAACATGCAGGTCTGTTTCACTGTTTCCCATGTGAACATGCTGTCATCATAGGGCACTAGTGTGAGACCTCCCAGTTTCGGTGGTATCTGAGAAAAATCAGTCATGAGGATTAAGAGGAGAGCATTGGTCTGTGGCTGCAACCTGCAAAACCATTCCCATTTGGGAGTTGTCTTCTTGTTGCTTTTCCATTGTTGCCACATTCATGGCACCAAAACAGGTGAAATTAGTTGACCATGGTTTATGCTTCCAAGAATCCTTGAAGCTTAATTGACTGTTTTATTCTGAGATCATAAAGTGTTCCCCTAATTTTTTGAGCAGTGTATTTTGATAAAACTTTCAGCCTTGGTCATGTGTAAGTAGTGACCAATATTAGACATTCAAACTGGAAATAAGTGCAACTGATTAATTATTTGTTGGATTAAAGACATGGTTCGCTTTTCTGTGATTAAAAATGTACAGAGAATGTTTTTGGACAAAACTACACATTCATTTATGGAGGTGTAGTAAAAATAAAAGAAGCAGTAGATCGATGGCCATCGTATTGCCTCTTTTTCTCTTGCTGAAGATAGACACTGGATCTGATGTTGGAACGCTGTCAGAACTCGCCTATAATGTGCTGAGAAAAAGACATGGACCTCATGGCTCCCCATCAACACATTATTGCCAGCTGGGCTTGGTCACAGGAGCACATTCTAAGCACTCAGCCTTTAATATTGTAGCACTTAGGCCAAGAGAGCAAGTGTGGGTGTGTGTATGTGTGAAGATGTGCATCTCTGTCAAATGAACTAAAGCTGTTGTGGCATGCTCACTGTTATTGGCTTTTGTGTAGTAGTTATTCTTCCTGTATTTAGGTGTGCTGTTTCAGTTCTTCGTGTGTTGATCGCATAGTAGGCAACATGTTTCTTTGCCCTCTTTTATTTTATTAACAAGTATAAAGTAGCTCCGTGCTCTCAAGCTGACCGTCAGCTGTAAAGTCCGTCTGCAGCTTTTCTGTTATAAAATACATGTTCCAATTATTGCAGTGATTCACAGTTTTAGTGTCAACTTTGCAATAGATGTCATAACATGTATATTTCGGCAATACTGGGCTTTGACTAATTTCGATCTTTTTAAAGGCTGAATAATTGCCTAGCATACATCTCAAAGAGGGAAAAAACATGAGCCAAGTGCAAAACTGAATCAATTTGGTTTTTGTGAAATAAAAACAGGGTCAAACTTGTATGTACTGGCTCGAAAATGTTCAAACATCTGCTTGGATTATTCAGCCCAGTGCTAATGAAAGTGTCAAAACCTCTTCAATTCCTCTTAGTGACTGGCTGTATGTGGTTTCTTCTTTCTGTCTGGTTTTGTTTGACACCACTGAACAACTTAGTAGTCTGTGTTCAGGAAAAAGTGTATTTTGGATCTGAGTTATC